AACCTACTAGCACTAAGTTGCTAACTGGTTAGCAAGATGCTTCCAACAAACCACAACAAAACTTGCTGTGAAATTTCCGCCACAACAATCCCGCCCCCTTGATAAACGACCAATCACATTCACTTCATTCACTCTTGTAAAGTCGGGCACCTCATACTCGTACTCGTCGTCTCCCGCTCTATCCAGAACCGGGTCGCGGGGGCAGCAGACTAAGCAGAGACTCCCAGACTTCTCTCTCCGCAGACACCTCCTCCAGCTCTGCTGGGGGAAGCCCTAGGCGCTCCCAGGCCAGCCGAGAGACGTAGTCTCTCCAGCGTGTCCTGGGTCATCCCCTGGGCCTCCTCCCAGTGGGATGTGCCTGGAACACCTCCCGAGGGAGGCGTCCAGGGGGCATCCGAAGAAGATGTCCGAGCCCCCTCAACTGACTCCTCTCGATGTGGAGGAGAACCCGGCTCTACACTGAGCCTCTCCCGAATGACCGAGCTCCTCACCCTATCTCTAAGGGAGAGCCCACTCAGGAAAATTAAGAAATACAATGGTTGGAACAGCCGCTTTCCTACGACTTTAAAAAATAAAAGTTTGGTAAAATGTCCTCATACAGCCCATCAGTCCGCTTCAGACGCACAAAGAAAGTAATCCAACAGGAAGAAGAATGTGTTTCTGCCTAAATGATTTATTTGATTTTATATTTTAGGATTCCACAGAAGTTCCTTATTCCCTAATTCAGAAATCCAAAATGTTTTTTTTTTTTTGTTTTTTTTTTGGGGCGCAGCACTGATCAGAACCTGTGGAGCCTCTCTTGCTCTACTGCGGTTAAAAGTTTAAAACGACTCTGACGGTTAAACTCCGTCATTTTATACATTTTTATATTTGTTATTTTTCATGTTTATAAATAATGGGACAACTTTACATTTTTTTTTTATGCAGCGTATTTATTAACAGTTTCCAACTATCCTTTAATTTCTAAATTATATCTGCATAAACTTTCCAAGCTGCCATTTACTGGGGCGTTAGCTATGATGCTCCTGAGTCTGTTCACTCACCAGTCGTGCCTCATAAAACCGTTGTAGCTAAAAAAATAAATACATTTTTAAAAGCGGCTGGGAAAATTATTATCCGTTGTCTTCATATTTTATTTATGTGGGAAATTGTGTATTTAAAAAAGGAACCTCTCTTGGTTTCGTTAACAGTAACGAATTTGTAGAAAGAGACACGGATTCATCATTCCTCCACCACCGTGCTTCGTTAAGGCCATACAGCTCTATTTCTGGCTCTTCAGACAGAGACTGCTTCACAGCTTCTGTGGTTCTTTTGGATCCAGATGCTTCCAGGTTCATTTTAGAGAGAAAAGCCTTCAACCCTCCAGACAAACCATTCTTCTTTTCAGCTCTGAGCTTCATGATTCAGAGAGATCAGTTTAGTGCTGATTCCACGTCTTCTCTGTCCCACAGCCTCGAGAAGAGATGGTCCTCAGCGGGAAATATAAGACAGGCGAGCAGATCCTGAGGTTGGTCAACGAGCGCTTCGCCGTTCCTGAGATGCTCTTCCATCCATCAGACATCGGCATCCAGGAGATGGGGATCCCAGAGGCCATCGTTGACTCGGTCAGGTCCCTGCCAGAAGGTTTGTTTGTCAAAGCCGGTGATGGTTCCTGCTGCAGGTTCTGAGGCTCAGACCTAAAATCCTCCTTCTGTCTGTTAGAGATGCACCCCCACCTCTACCAGAACATCGTCCTGACGGGAGGCAACACGCTGTTTCCTGGCTTTAGAGAGCGACTGGAGGCGGAGCTTCGGTCTCTTGTCCCCGCCCACCTCCCGGTGTCGGTCTTCCTTCCTGACAAGTAAGACATCTAGACCTGGAGGTCAGAATTTCCTAACAGAACCAGAACTGCAGCCAGAATCTGAATCTGGGTTTCATAAACTTCATATGAAATGTTTTAGCTTCTAGCTCTAATTATTCAGCAGCACGGTCGCCTCGCAGGAAGAAGGTCCCCGGTTTGAACTCATTTTAGGTTTGTCTCCAGGTGCATTTCTCTGGGTACTCTGGCCTCCTCCTCCAGTTCGGTGCAGGTCTGTTAGGTCAGCAGCTTACTGCGACCTGCAGAGCCAGGCCATGTCGGTTCCAGCCGAGGGTTATAAACCCGGAACTGAAGCTAAACCGTCTTCGGTGTGATTCTGAGTCTACAGTCCAGTCTGCTTCGTTATATCTCTATTCTCCCACTCTACAGACTCTGTTAGTTCAATCTCTAACATTAATTTCTCTGCTTTTTCTCATCTGTTCTGTTCCTGTTTGGCTGTGACTCCATCCTGGAGAGAAATATCAGCTGTGCTGCTTCCATCAACACCCTTGTTTATAGATGTTTGAGCTCAGCCTGTTTTTCAGTGTAGTCCTGTTTCTCTGACTGACTGGCTGGATGTGCTCTCTTCATCCTCTGACATGGGAGCCGGCTCGGAGCTCGTCTGCCTGGCTGTGTGTTTCCTGGACGGGGCCGCCTGTGATCAGAGAGCAGAGATACAAAAGGCAACCTTCAACCAGCTCATTGACAGCTGCTTTCTGTATCTCTGCTTCTGTCTCCTTGAACCCCAGTCGGCCTCAGCAGATGGCCGCTCACACTGAGCCTGGTTCTGCTGGAGGTTTCTTCCTGTTAAAAGGGAGTTTTTCCTCTCCACTGTCGCTACAAGCATGCTTAGTGTGAGGGATTGTATTTGAGTCAATGAGTCAATACAATCAACTGGTTTTTCTTAGATAGAAAACTTTGATTCAATTTGACTGGATGATCTGGTGAACTGTAAAGTGCCTTGAGATGACATATGTTGTGAATTGGCGCTATAGAAATAAACTGAATTGAATACAGTCTGTAACTGTGCTCCTGTTTTCCAGTCCGGTCTGTTATTCCTGGGAAGGAGGGAAGCTGCTGTCTCACAGTCCGGACTACGATGAGATGGTGGTGATGCGGGAGGACTACGAGGAGAACGGACACATCGTCTGTGAGGAGAAGTTTGACATCTGAATTAAAAGGCGTCGGGAAGAGAAACGAACTCTGAGGTTCAGGAGGGATCAAGTGCAGAACGTTGATGAAACAAGCACACAGAGACGTGGCCAACATTTTTCTACTGAATAAAAAATGTTTTCTACCTGTTCTGTTTCCCTGTAGTTTTATTTTAGTACCTGATTAAAAAGGTGTCTTTAAACAGTTTCTGGGTCCAGAGAAACGGATGTGCTGTCGGCAGGACTTTCTGGATGTTTCTCCTGCAAATATTTCTCATCCGGGCCTCATCTCCTGAGCCGGACCTTGGATTTAAACTCTGTGGCCTTTCCTCCTTTATTTAATTTAGCTTCCTAAAGGTCTTTAGGTGTTTTTCTTTGAACCTTGGCAGCTTTTTTATGACATATGTGAAAGATAACCAGTATAGTGAACAGCAACGTACTGGAATAGAGAATCGCTTTATTGTTCCACAATTGGGAAATTCTGGTGTTACAGCAGCAAAAAGATTATAGAAAAATAGTCACACTAATGTGGACCTTAGAAAAGTGTATAAAAATAGCATAATAGTAAAGCGTTAAAAAAAGTTTCAGTAAAGACTCTTATCTTTATGAGATTTACTTTACAGTTTCCCTATTTCTAAAACTGCTTTTTGGTTTGGAGCAAAGCTTCAATGATGTTTAGGATTCCTTCTAAAGTCTGTCAGGACTCAGTCCTTCAGGTCATAAGACATTAAAAACATTAGGACTCATCCTAACATACTTCATAACAAATAATCCAAACTGTCAGCAGTATTAGAATGTGGATTTAATTATTTTGTTGATCTATCTGTGGGGTCAGAATTCACACGTTTGGATCAAAAACCTGTTAGAAATAAATGATCCACTTCAGTTGGTTTTAGCAGGAGAGCTCAATAGAGTCTGTTTTAGAGAACAATCATCCATGATTGAATCTGAACAATTCATTATTAATCATCATCATTCTTCATTGTTCCGTCAGATTGAATCACAGCTCTAAACTGTCAAAGATGGCGTCCGGACTGCGATTCCCTCCATATCCACCTGCACTGTGTGAACGCTGAAGTCGCCCAGACCCTGAAACACAGATATTTATTAGATAGCACCACAAATTCCAGATGGTTTTGTGTTTTTCTGGGTTATATGATCAAAAACATCAAAAGATGCAGCATTTCTGGAGGCATTAAACAATTTGCTAACATTTTTTATCATGACCTGTGATTGAATTTAATTTTTTTCACATTTTCCATTTATCAAACATGTTTTTCTTTTGCAACAATAGTGGACCAAATGTCCCTCCAAACTCTAAAATCATCTCTGCTCTGGAAATGGAAATTTTCAGTCCAGTGTGAAACAGGACTTTTTAAGGAAGAGGGTAAGGGCCACAGGATTTTTTTAAGTTTATAGACTTTTTAAAATTATTTTGTTTCAATTTGTACGGAAGAGGATTAGGGCCACTGAAAAAAAAAGTAAACTGATTTTTAAATTT